AAGGCAGAATAATTTTCGTTTTAAGCTCGGATTTTGTTCGTGGGCGAATGATTCTTTGATCTTATTTAATGAATTTTCGTTAACTCAAAATGAAATCAACTTGCACTGACTTCTCTAAAAGAAATAGAACGAAATTTCAAGCATATAGGACAACAAGTTAAACCCATAAATAGACCTTAAGAACTGACGGGCCCATTTATATGCATTTGAATCATTAGTTAGTAAACTGAAGCTATTACATTGCGCAAATTTCCTTTTGGTCAATCGCGCACCTCATAGAAAAGTATAGTTTCGTATCTCGATTTTAGAGGCATCTATAGGGGCGTTGTTCAAACTCCAGTACAACTCTATGTGTATCCAGTAATTTATGGATACTTTGTGAAGTTCAGCTAAAATTATAAAGCTTTGAAATTGCTTATAGGAGTTATCGGCAATCCTGTGGCTGCCGAACTTTGCGCTAGCAGACTGCAATGGCCAGCTGTCTTCTACAGTTCAGGTGAAAACTTCGATAAAACCCACTTTTCCAATTTGCAAGCAAAATTTACAGGTGTTCTGGGTTTTCTTTGGTGTATTGTATGGCAGCTCACCGTAAACAATTCTCCGGCCAATACCAAATGGATCAGTGATCATGAATTGATATATTTGGAACATCACCTCCCGGAGAAAACAGCAAAGCGCATGAAGAAGGTTTGGCTGGTGCCGCTCAATCTTTTTATTATAAAAAAAGTTTTTTAGGTTCTCCCATGGCGGTCAATGTTAACGTCTGCTCCGCTGCTTGTCGTATTCTATTCAAGTATAGTTGGCAATATGATGATAGCCATGATCCTCGTCTATATCCCAGTTTATTTCAAAGATGTTCTCATGCTGGAAGTCAAACAAGTAATTTTTTGCTTGTTATAGCGAGGATCTTTACCACATGCGAGTTATATAATGTTTTGTTCGATTTTAAATCATTTACTTCCAGAATGGTTTCTATACCGCTCTACCACATACCTTCAACCTCATTTCAAAATTGATCTGGGGGTTTTTGATGGACCATCTCAAGCAAAAGAAGATACTCACAGCAACCCAGACCGTAAAGCTCTCACAAGTCTTATGTAAGTTTGTTTTCGTCAGCTCCAATACGATATTTGAGCCAACCTAAACGATTCGCTTAATCAGCAAAAAATGAAGAGAATTTATAAGTTTATAGATTGCTGATGTTGAGGTGTAGAGAGCTCCCTAAAACAATTTTTACTGTGATA